TGTTTGCTCTCTCGCTGTGTCTCTCTCTGTCAAATAAATAAATAAAATCTTAAAAAAAAATTCCAAGCGTAGTATAGGTTCTGGTTTCTGAGTTTTCTTCCCGTTGGGAGCTTTATGTCACGTGGTTACTGCATCTGGCGACCCCCCTGAGCTGCCGCACCCTTCAGGGACTAGCTCCCGCCTGCTAGCAGCCACCTCAGCACCGTGCTGAGCTCATTCACTGGAGGGGAGGTGGGGGGGACAGTGGAGAGTTTCTAGTTGGTGCTTACGCACACTTAACCCTTATCCAGCAGGGGGTATCGTGCCCCCGCCCCCCCCATCTCCCAGCATTATGTGTATACACGTGTATAGAGCAGCTGCTCAGTAGAAACGTTCTGGGTGGGAACAGTTTCCCACAGTGTGCTGCTGGTGCTACAGGAGCTGATTTTAGGCACTGTTCAGACCAGCATTTTTTACTGTAATAGCTGTATATTTATGTGACATGTTAGAAAAATATAATTACTAATGACCATGTAACAGTGATAATCGTCTTTTAATATAAATTTAAGTAAAAATGAGTTGATTTTAAGAAAACTCATAAATAATCCTTCAGCAGTACTCGGACGTGGCAAAAATCGCAAGGGATACCGCAAGGGCTGATGGTTCCTGACAGCCGTAGAGCCCAGTCAGTGGGCCAGGCTCTGTTCTGGGCACTTGAAGGGGAATAGACCAGCACTGTGAGTGTTTAGGCCCAGGCAGGTTAAGGGACTTCCAAAAAAACACATAGATAGTTAGTTGGGGAGCCAGGAGTCAGCCAGAGCTGTCAGATTCCAGATCTGCACTCAGGCGGTACACTCTGCTGGCCAGGCTGGGAAGACCTGGGATAAAACCAAAACAGGGTAGTTTGGGCCACGACCAGTGTGAAACTTCTTCCTAAAATGACCTTCCATAAAAGGAAAAGTCACTATAGATACTGGCCCATCACTCTTGTCTGTGTTCTGCTGTACGTTTCAAGTATTTCAGTCTTCCTTCTAAGACATCTGCTTTGATTCAGCTAATAGTACAGGGTGGGATTTAGTGTACCAAATGCTGACAGATACTAGGATAGTTTGGCTGAGTCCTGCTGTTCAGGGAACGTTCTGCCGTCATTAAATACCAGCCTTCCCCGTGTAAGTCCTGGCAACACAGGAAATATAGATGCTTTTCAGTAACCTTTCCCCGTAAGACTTTTTCAGAGCCAGGAACATATGATGCGATCCATCTGGACTAAAAAGTATGAGGCAGAATGATATTAATTAATCCCACCCAGAATGATATTAATTAATTGATATAAATGAATATCAAAAAGGGAATACTTTTTATTCCCTTATTGATTGTTAAGAGAATTTCCAGGGGAGCCTTTTTCAGAGAAGACTCATTGGATTTATTTTTTAAATAGTATACCATTTCTTATAAGAGCATACTTCTCTGGTTGGATGCTAGGCACATGTAAATATATTGATAGCATTCAGTCTCTTGGGAAACTTAAGGGGTATTTGCTTATGATGGGTCTTTGTGTTTTCTTACATGCCTACTAAGATTTACGGGACGGCGCCTGGGTGGCTCAGTCGGTTAAGTGTCTGCCTTCGGCTCAGGTCATGATCTCAGGGTCCTGGGATTGAGTCCCACATCAGGTCCCCTGCTCAGTGGGGCATCTGCTTCTCCCTCTCACTCTCTCAAATAAATAAAACCTTTAAAAAAAAGGATTTACAGGAGAAGAGGGTGTGGTCTTACTAAAGTGATAACCCAGTACAGTTTCACAAGTAATCACATTTCTCTGACCTGATGATCTTCAAAAAGCTTCAGAGAAGTGGGTTCAGATTGCATAGTCCTCTTTAAACTCTGAAATACCTAGGAAATTTCCATACACAGCAAATGAGTCCAGGCAAAGAAACGTATCATTTTCAGGGTCCTTGGTCAGCACCTTGTTTTTGCTTGGTTTGCTTTGCTTTGCTTTCACATGAGTTCATTCTTCTCCCTGGAAAGGCAATGCTCATGCAGTTAATGTTGGTTTCGTGTCCCGGGGGCAACCACTGTGCTACTAGTTTTAGTGAAGACAATAGAGTTAAGAGTTCTGTGTGGATAATCCATGTCCAGGCCTCAGCTGGAAGATGACCAGCACAGTGTTGATTTGCTTTTGGGCTCTGTCTGTCACAGTTTGAGTTCAAATAACAGGGGCTTTTTAAAAAAGGGGTTGGGGATGGGGCGCCTGGGTGGCTCAGTTGTTAAGCGTCTGCCTTCGGCTCAGGTCATGATCTCAGGGTCCTGGGATCGAGCCCCGCATCGGGCTCCCTGCTCGGCGGGAAGCCTGCTTCTCCCTCTCCCTCCCCCTGCTTGTGTTCCTGCTCTCGCTGTCTCTCTCTCTGTCAAATAAATAAATAAAATCTTAAAAAATATATAAATAAATAAATAAAAAGGGGGTGGGGGTTGGGGTGCTAATTTACTTCTGAAAATGCATGAAGCATGGCGCTAGGACCGGTGTGAGAACTCCATGATGCCCACAGCGCCCCAGGCCCCTTCTGTCTCCAGCACCGGCTGTAGCGTGTAGATTCCAACCCTTGTTGCCTCACGGTCACAAAATGGCATTTGGAACTACAGTCATTAGATGTACATTCCAGGCAGGAAGACGGAGGAGAAGGAAAACAGCAACAGGGCACCTCTGCCGCAGGTGTACTCCGTGTCGGTGCTGCTCCTGATGGTCGGGGAGTGACATTCTAGAAAGAGTTTGCAGCTGGACTGCCAGAACCCGGGTGAGCAAGTGTTAAATGCGTTCTCTCTCTCAGGCATCTGTGGCTCTTGTGCCATGAACATCAACGGAGGCAACACCCTGCCCTGCACCCGAAGGATCGACACCAACCTCAACAAAGTCTCAAAAATCTACCCTCTTCCGCATATGTATGTGATAAAGGATCTTGTTCCCGTGAGTTTCTGCCTCCCCACCCTCTCCCATCCCCTTTTCTCTCCCACTCTCCCTACCCCCTTTTTTTATTTTCCAGGGAGAAGGGAAGAGGTGTGTGTGAGAGAGATACATGTTATCGTTCTCTAGGGCAGGCTTTTTTCCTGGGTTTAATTAAGGAATTTGAATGGTGGAAGATAAACATGCCTAGAAGATTCTCCAGCCGCTCATTGGGGAGGATTGTTTGGGAATAACAGGGCATAGGATTTTAGAGTTGGAACAGCCCCAGAATCAAGAATTTGGCCATAACTACAAAGAATTCATGTGGAAAAGACCAGTGGGGAAGGCAACAGCTGTTACACGTTGTACTTTAATCTCTGCCTCCCCGTGTCTTAGCACCTTCACTGACAGGGCTGCAGGATTGGAAGGTTACCCAAGTGGGTGAAGGAGAGATTTCCCAGCCACAATTAACACTCTGACCATTTCTCCTTCTGTCATCCTTGCATGGATCCACACTGAGGGAAGAGAGTCAGACTTCTGCTGGTGTGGATTGGGGACGTGTCCAAGAATGGGGTGAATAAGAAAGCTAGGGAGTCCAAGGGCAGTATCCAAGAAATGGGGTGAATAAGAACGCTAGGGAGTGATGGTGGAATCTGACCCTTCTTTTCTTCTTCCTCTTAACCTCAGGACTTGAGCAACTTCTACGCTCAATACAAATCCATTGAACCTTATTTGAAGAAGAAGGATGAATCCCAGGAGGGCAAGCAGCAGTATCTGCAGTCTATAGAAGATCGTGAGAAACTGGTCATTAGTCCGCATTTATTGTCTTGCTTTGAGGAATTTTGGTGCAAACATGCTTGCCAGGAAGCCTGGCTTGAGGGGATGGGGCAGGGAGTAGCAGCATGGGACGCTGCAGACCATTATGGAGCGTATTCTGGAAAGGAACTGCAAGAGCATCTGTCCAAGGGCTGGACACCCATCCTCTCAGGGCCAGGGGGTAGTGTGATCCCACAAGGGGCCCACAGTGGAACAAAGATCCGGAGCACATCTGCCTTGCCTGGAAGGGCATATGATTACCATGTTGCAGAATGTTTGTTTCAGAGGAAACCTGTATGCAAATAATCAAGTCTTGCCAAGGTGACAGCTCCGTCAAAGCTGCTCTTTAATGGTGTGGGCACATCAGACACGTGTCGGCCCCTGGCAGTCGTGCTCCCACCCTGTGTTACAGGTGGCGGCCAAATGGGGACTGGAACCTTGCCGTTCTTTCCTAACGCCGAGTGTCCGGGGACTGCTGGGTGGGGCGGTGATGGCCCTGTCACTCTCTTGGCGTTCCAGTGTCCAGGCTGTGACATCTTACAGTGAAGGGGTCATTCTCAAGTGTTCAGTCTCCTTCTCTGGCACTCTTCCCCCTGAGAAGCCTCTGATTTACACCTGCACTCCAGGCATATTCAGTGTCCTTGTGGAGAGGGGCGGTGGGAAAGAGACCCAACAGATGGGTCCTGACAGCATGTCTGCAGGGGGCCAAGGACGTGTGCTGTGTCACAGTCGGCACGTCACGCGGTCCTCCGATTCGGCACTTGCCCGAAGAGCATCCCTGACCGGCGCCTCTCGAGCAGGCTGAGCGCACATCCAGGACGGCGGCCGAGTCTTACTCCTTTCTGAATCCCGAGGCCCTGGTGCTGGTTATTTATCAGTATGTGTTAGGCACGTGGCTGAGTAAATGCACTGTACCTTTTAGAAGTCTTGGAGAATGTTGAGGCCCTCTCCTCTTCCTGTAAAACTTTAAGAAAGGAGAGCCCTCATGTGAATGCCCAGCGCTCTTCGTGGAGTGATGTAACTCAGTGCGAACAGCTCTCTCCTGGGTCAGGAGTTCTTGTTCTCTGGACAAGGCTCTGCCCCGCATTCCTGACTGGGGCGGGCGGGGGTGGCGGGAGGACGGTGTCCGGACCTGGTTTCTGGTCTCTCCGGCCAACTCACCCTCCTGCATTCCTCCCTTAGGCAAGCCCCCAGCTAGGAACCGCCTCCTCCATGCACTAGTAGGAGGGCACGAAGGGCCCCCCTGAGTGTGTTTTCTAGATAACCAAGTTTACACATTTAAATACCAAAAATTTGTTAAGCATTTTTCACTTCCTTAAATTAATACGCTGAACATAACTTTTTCTCACGGTTTTAAAAGGCATCATGCTCACTGTGGGTAATTGGAAAATACAGGTAACTATTTTAAAATATAAATAATCTGTAATATTCCAGCACCAGGATAATGTCCATTGACAGCTATTTTTGTTTTTTCTTTTATGTGCTACATGACATTTTTATGTAGCTGGGATCAAAATGTAAATATGCTTTTGTATCCTGCCTTCACTTACGTTATTGTGAGCATTTTCCCATGTTCTTTTTTTTTTTTAAGATTTTATTTATTTATTTGACAGAGAGAGAGACACAGTGAGAGATGGAACACAAGCAGGGGGAGTGGGAGAGGGAGAAGCAGGCTTCCCGCCAAGCAGGGAGCCCAATGCGGGTCTCAGTCCCAGGACCCTGGGATCATGACCTGAGCTGAAGGCAGATGCTTAACAACTGAGCCACCCAGGCACCCCATTTTCCCATGTTCTTAAGAATTCTTCATAAGCATTTGCTTAGACGTTGCTTTCTGCTACCTCAGTTGAATGCATTGTGTATTATTTAACCATTCTACCTACTGTTGGACATTGGACAATGAAATTATTTCCAGTTGCTCAGTGTTACAAATAAGGCTGGATAAACATCTTTATCTTTCGAGTTCTAGCCAAAAATTTGAGTTCCTTTTCTTGTTAGAAGTTTTTCTATAAGTGTATCAAAGAATATGATCATCACCCTATGCTTTCTAGACCAGTGAGGCAGTTTGCACTCCCATCTGCTCTCTGAACAGAACATAGATTTTGTTGAAGACTCAGGGTTACAATCATGACCGTCAACTCTGCATCATCTGTTACAGTCAGCTGTCAGTGTGCCCTTCTGTCTTGCTGCTTTTAACCGTTTCTGTTTTTCGCAAAATCAGAAAGTCCAGTTTGTTAGAACTGGGGGGACAGATTGAGTCAGCATGGCAGGGTTCAAGTGCAGGCAGGCATTCCAGAGTCGGACTGCCTGGGGTCCCGTCCCAGCCGTGGCTACTTGGAGCTGTGTGACCCTGGACCAATGACCTGACCTCTCTGTGACGCTAGTAGTCCTCACACCATAGCATTGTTGTGATGATCAAATGAGGGAAAGTGAGTACGGCGCATGGGGCTTATTTAGGATGATGTCTCCGTTGCCAGCCCGGGCAGAGGCTGGGGTAGACTGCTGGATGCCCCAGCATGCAGGTCCTTCCTCATTTCTCCTAGAGTGCATTCTAGGCAATAAGGTGTTTGGGGTGGGTTGGTTGGTTTTTTGTGGGGTTTTTTGTTTTTGTTTTTGTTTTGGTTTTTTAGATAACTGAGAGGTTATTGTTTATTAGAGGATAAGTGCTTGGACTTAAGAACTCTGGATTCTAACCCAGCAAACACAGTTCGATTCCAAGACCTTTTTTATGAATCTGATAAATCTCTGCAGGCCGCCCCTAAAATTTTGCCAAGAAAACTCCCATGCAGGTGGGCGCTTTGTTCGTGCACTGACCCCAGACACGACGTTCGGTCAGCTGGAGGCATGAGCGCCCGTCCCCTGGCGTGCTCCTGACCGCCCTTCCTCTCCACACAGGACGGGCTGTACGAATGCATCCTCTGTGCCTGCTGCAGCACCAGCTGCCCTAGCTACTGGTGGAACGGAGACAAATACCTGGGGCCTGCGGTTCTCATGCAGGTAAGGTGCTCCCTCACTGCTCTCAAAGCTTCAAACCGAGGCATCCAGGGGCGCCTGGCCGGCACAGTCCATGGAGTGGCTGACTCTTGGTTTCGGCTCAGGTGGTGGTCTCAGGGTCCCGAGAGCCAGCCCTGTGTCAGGCTCCACGCTCTGTGTGGAGTCTACTTCTCTCCCTCTCCCTCTGCCCCTCCCCACCTCCCTCAAATAAATAAATACATACATCTTCTTTTAAAAAAAAATGGAGAAGTCCAAGAGGACAGTATATTGTTGGAAACCAGGCGTTCTAAAGGGCATCCGTTACAAACAGGGCAGTTGGCTGCATTCTGCTCACTGGGCTTTCAGTAAATCTTCATCTGCAAAATACCTCATTTCTGTGTGGTGAGGGCCACCCCAAGGGGTGGTCGTGTGCTTTTTGGCAAAGTAGGCCTTGCAAGTGTTCTAAAACGTATCCCCGGTGCAGCTGGCTCTTGCCTACCCACTTGCCCACTGTCCCCAGACCGCAGCTGTCAGGTGGCCGCCCAGCTCCCTCACGTGGGGATTTCTGACCTGCAAGCAGGGGAGAGATTTCGTCGAGGGGCAGCTTCCCAGCTTCTAAGGCTGGAACTGGTTTCCAGGCTAATGAAAGCCTGGAGTCCTGGGTTTAAGGGTTACTTCACAAGAAGACAGCACTGCCTTTCAGGGCCCGTCGCCATATATGTATAGCCCACTGCAGAGAAACTGCCTTTGTTCCCAGAAAGCTGGGCTTTTTACATCTGTGGTCAGTGCTTTTCACAGATTCCTAATTTCAAAAAACAAGTTCTCATTTCTCATCGTCCCACAAAAAGGGAAGTTACGTGCTGTGTGAGCACTTAGCAGTATTGATTTCCATCCACATGAAAGATCGAATAACGAGGCGCGTTCACAGTTGGCCTCTGCCCCCACACTGTGACTTGGTGGGGCACAGAGCCCCCTCCACTTCACTGCGAGCAGCCCGTGCTTGGGCAGTCAGCTGCCTCCGGCCGGCTTGTGCCAGGCTCCAGGGCAGGCTGACCAAGAGTCCATCCGTGGAACATAACTATCTCCGGACACATCTCCTAAGTCATCAGTCTACTGGGAGACCGTGGGTTGGTGCTATGAGGACAGGGTCATGTGATATGGTCCTTGCCTTCCCTCACTCATAATCTGGGCAGGAAGCCACCGAGCACCTTAAGATAATGAAACGATACCTAATGACGTGTAATGAAACACCAGGGTACCAGGTGCGGTGCGCGCCGGGACCGGGGGCGGGGGTGGGGGGGGCGTTAGTTGAGAGGAGTTCTAGAGGAGGGACCTCTCCTTGAAAGGGGGCAAGACTTACAGAGCAGAGACAGGCCTCTAAGCTGAGGGACTGCCTTTCGGCTGCTCCCCCGGGGCTTTGATACGTTGCCAGCACGGCTCATCAGCCCCCCGGCTCCCCAGGCCTACCGCTGGATGATCGACTCGAGAGACGATTTCACAGAGGAGCGCCTGGCCAGGCTGCAGGACCCGTTCTCCCTGTACCGCTGCCACACCATCATGAACTGCACCCGGACCTGCCCCAAGGTATGCGGCCCCGGCCCTGCCTCCTGGGCTCCTCGGGGCGAGCCTGCGGGCTAGCTGGCCCCTTCCCCTCGGGAGAAGGGTTTACTTGCGGGTCGCACGCGGGCCTGAGGGAGTCGGGGATGCCCCAGGAATCCACGAATAGGAACCTCTGCTCTCCCCGACTCGATAGGAGCCGCAAGAGGAAAGGCGGCAGAAGGCGGGTAGCTGTGGGGACCGGATTCCCGCTCCGTGTCGCAGGGTCTCCGGCTCGCAACGTTGCTGCCAACGTGCTGTTCTCTCGCAGCCAGCCTCTTCTTCACGGCTTCCGTCCATCTCAGGGCTCCTGCTCACCTTGCTTTCACTCCCGCTTCCTGCTCATCCTCCCACTTCCTGCACTCACCCTGACCTTCGGCTCCCGCCACCTGCCCGTCTTCTGTCAGCATGTCCATGGCAGCCCGCATCCCAGGAGGATGGCCTGCTGTGGACTGGCTGCCCGCTGGTCAGGTGCCAGCCCTGGTCCGGTCAGCAGGCAGGGAGCAGCCGGGGCCATGTGGCCCAGGACACGGCTGCCCTTCCAGCAGAGACTGCAGAGCAGGGTCCCTGAAAGAGGCAGCGAGGAAGCAGATAGCAAGATGGAAAACTCTAGGGTAACCAGTTGGCAGTTTTTTTTTAAAAAGTGGTAGGGGGAGATAGCATAGCTTAAACAGGAAATCGAGACTGGGTAATTCCCTGCTTTTTTGCCAACACTGTGTTTCCAGGGACCCCCGTCTCTACCACAGTGTTCTCATGGTCTAGCAGCAGTGGCGCCTGGCGGGGGCCCCGAGGTGAGGGAGAACAAAGGCTCCAGCCTGCCCCCCAGGCTCTGCCCCCCCAGACCTCTAACTTGTGGGGCAGGTTAAGGCACTGATGTGCTGAGAACAACTCCTGGCACACAGTGAGCGCTCGGTAAATGGGCCCACAGACGGGGGTCCAGCCTGGGAGGCTGTCAGAGACGGCAGCTCCAAGGGTAGGCTGGGCCGCCATGTTTCTCCGAAAGCTCTGCCTGGGCTTCTGAGGTGCGTTCCCCGGGCAGGCGCCTTTTCGGGAGACAAGAATGGAGGTGCTCTGTGACCTGTGGGACGAGATGAGGCCCAGATTGTGTGAGCTGGCAGGGTCCCTTTCACAGCCAGGGAAGCTGAGCCCTGGGTGGGAGTTGGGGGAGGGGGGCAGCCAGCGATTTGCAGAGGTCTTTATAGGGACAGGGCAGGGCCGGGAAAGCAGTCCCCCCACCTCCCAGAGTGGTCTCTTCCTGCTGCCCTAGATGAGGTGCACACCACTAAGTCCTGCGGCAAACGGGGGCGGGCAGGGGCGCCGCAGAGGCCCTTCCAGAGGTTTCCCACTGCCCACAAATGCACATGGGCCCTGTTCTGTCACACACTGCCTTTTCCCCTTAATTTACTTTGGAGACCCAGATCAGTCTTTGAAGAGTGTCCTCTCTCCCTTTCTTTCTCTCTCAAGATCTCGTTTCTTTTTCTTTCTTTCCACACTTTTTCCCCCACTATGGAAGTGCTTTTTTTGGCAGTAGAGTTGAATGGACAGAGGTTTCTCAGCTGGGTGGGACGAGGCAGTCACAAGTATAGATGGTACCCAGAGTGAGGGCAAGTAGGCGGCGTAAGGGAAGTCCACGCCATCTGGAGCATCCTGGTCACGGTGTTCCGTAGCAGCCCATGGGTGTCCGCAGAAGGCATCCTAGTTCCCTGGACCAGCTCCATAGCCCAACATGGGGGGCCGGGGCCGACCAGAGAGCATCCGGCCCTGGGGAGTCCGGTGTGAGCAGGGGTGTCCCGGGGCTGGGCCTGGGGGGAGTATCTGGGCAGGGCCAGGTGGCAGAGCCGGGCGCTTGGCACCAGGGAGAAAGTTGTTACAAATGCCACCTTCCTCCTTTACTTCCTCAGTCTGCATGCTTGTTGATGGTAGATACGCATACAAACTCAGGGCCCTTGAATTTCTTGCCACCGAGAGGGCATGGCCACGTATCCTTGGCCAGTTCCTGGGTGTTGGAGGGGACAGACTTCGCTTCCTGCTCAGGGTCTTCACGACCCATCTTCTGGGCCTCTTCCCACACACTTCAGTGTCAGGGTTAGAGTTGTCCTGCTACAACGGGGGGACTCCCTTCTAACCTCGGAGGAGTCCTTGTCTCATTTTGCCACGTCTTCACGGTCTCCCTCCCTCGCGGGGTTCAGTCATGGTGCCTCCTGCAGAAGCAGCGTGGCCGGCCAGTCAGACTGCTGATGGCGCTTAGGCTCGCTCCCCGTCACCCGTGAGGGCTCGCCTGTGCCCGTGGGAACGTGTAAGGGCCCAGGGGCCGCTGGCTGGTTGGGACACTGGCTGTGGCCATGGAAAAGCTGCCCCCTCCTGGATGTGTGTGCATTTTGAGCACACAGCCCTCGGGGGGTCAGCCCTGGGCTGGGCTCTCGCCGCGGGGAGGTGTCTGCAGGTGGAAACGGGAGAGCCCTGAGCCTGAGCCCTTGCCTTTGGAAGGACGTGGTTTGCATCCACCTTGCTTTGACCCTGTTCCCGCTGGGGGAGTTTGCCCAAGGCCCTGGGTTCTTCATTCGGTCTCGCTTGCCCCGTGATATCGATTCTCTTCTCTTCTCTCAAGGGGCTGAATCCAGGCAAAGCTATTGCTGAAATCAAGAAAATGATGGCCACCTATAAGGGGAAGAAAGCATCAGTGTAACTGTTCCCACGCCAAGCATGACAGCCAGCTCAGCTGGACATGCTTTATATCCAATTCGAGTCCCTTCAGAGGTCTTGATGTTCCATGAATACAGCATGTATAATAAAAATTTTAAATAAATAAACGTTATTCTACTTTATTAACAAAAAAGCAAGCCTGTTCCTTTTACTTGCTGAAGAGGAATGCACAGGTGCCAGAAGGAAGTGTCCTTGTCCTTGGAGAGGGGCGGGGGCTCTTGCACTGAGCCCAGGGCGGGGCCGGACAGGCATGGCCTCAGGCCTGTTCCCTTTGCCCCTCCCCAGCTGGACGCCCTTGGGCAGGCTCCTTGTCCTCTTAGCCTCTCTGTTTGCCCGTCTGTACGGGGAGGGTGGTGACTGCCCACCTCCCCCATCGCTGCGGGAACACCCGGCCCTTGCTCTGCGTGCTCTCGAAGTGTTAGCAGCCGCCCGGATCAGAATTACTTAAAGCCGCGTCTTGCCAAGTCATCATATCTCACCAAGGCGAGGTGAGCCGCCTCCAGCACAGAGCAATGACCGGGTCAGCTGTGACCTCGAGTTCCACGGCTGACCTCCAGGGGCCTCTCCCGGCAAGCACGGCTTCCCGGCGCAGCTGCCCAGGCGGCAACGCTCTCAGAGAAGCCAGATGGTGCAAGAGTGCGTCGGGGTGGAAGTGAAAGGCCCTCCACGCCCCGAGTCCCACCCCCCACCCTCCGCTGACTGTTGTATTTCCTTCCAGACCTTTATGTCATGACAAACGGGCATACAGAAAGCTTTCCCTTCAAAATCGGGGTGCGATAGGGGGCTCCTGGGTGGCTCAGTCGGTTAAGCATCCAACTCAGGTCACGATCTCAGGGTCGTGAGATCGAGCCCCCTGTCGGGCTGAGCGTGGAGTCTGCTTCGGATTCTTTCCCTCCCTCCCCCTCTGCCCCTCCCCCGGCACACACGCTCCCTCGCTCGCTCTCCCAAATAAATCTTAAATAAAATACTTAAAAAAAAAAACAGGGTGTGATATAACCTGTCCACTTTCCATTTTTCCTCTTTTTTATTGTGGTCACACATACATAACAAAATTTACGTTCTTAGCCATTGTTAAGTGCACCGTTCGGCGGCATTAGGTACATTCGTATCGTTGTGCAACCACCACCACCGTCCAGAACTCTGCATCCTGCAAAACTCGTCCTCATCAAACAACTCCCCGCGCCGGCCACCACCCTTCCGCTTTCTGTTTCTGAGACTCTGACGACTCGCCCTCCTATGAGTGGAATCATACAGTAGTTTGTCTTTGGTAACACTTCACTTGGCATAAAGTTCTCAAGGTTCATCCGTGTTGTAGCCTATGTTAGAACTACTTTCCTTTTTTTTTTTTTAAGATTTTATTTTTAAGGGGTGCCTGGGTGCCTCAGTCCATTAAGCGTCCGACTCTTTTTTTTTTTTTTTTTTTTCTTTTTTTTTTTTTTTTAAAGATTTTATTTATTTATTTGACAGAGAGAGACACAGCGAGAGAGGGAACACAAGCAGGGGGAGTGGGAGAGGGAGAAGCAGGCTCCCCGCTGAGCAGGGAGCCCGATGCGGGCCTCGATCCCAGGACCCTGGGATCATGACCTGAGCCGAAGGCAGACGCTTAACGACTGAGCCACCCAGGCGCCCCATGCGTCCGACTCTTGATTTCGGCTCAGGTCATGGGATCAAGCCCCGTGTTGGGCTCTGCTGAGCAAGGAGCTTCCTGGAGATTCTCGCTCCCTCTCCCCCTGCCCCTCCCCACCCTCACCCCCCCCCCCCCGCGTGCATGCTCGCTCTCTCTCTAAAAAGAAAAAAAAAAATTAATCTCTGCACTTAACATGGGGCTCAAACCTACAACCCCGAGATCAAGAGTCGCATGTCCCACCAACTGAGCCAGCCAGGTGCCCCAGAACTTTCTTTTTAAGGCTGAAGACTACTCCATTGTGTGTAGACACCACATTTTGTGGATTCATCCATCGACACTTGGGTTGCTTCCACGTTTTCTGGCTATCGTGAATAACAGCAGCCTTCTGTTTTTACCGCACAATATGGAAGGGCCCCTTCGGTGCTAATAAAGATCTACCTGTGTGTGTGATTTAAATTCCGCCTGAGCCTCTCGAACCCCGGGTTCGATGCTCCAGGTGCAGGTGCACGGTAACCGCCCTGCTGCTGCCGCCCGGTGGACCCACCTCTCGCTCGGGAACACTCCAAGGCTGCTCTTTCACCCACAGCAGTGAGATCAGCCAGGAAACAAAGGCTCCTTGCATCGTGAGGCAGGCCGCCAAGAAAAATGCCTGACTCACCCAGGATGAACCTTAATGAGCGTTTCTGGCTTTGAAAAGGGACAGCTCAAAAGCACTTGTCTCCAGCATTACGAGAGGTGAGACGCTGGGGGCAGAGATGAGCAAGATGTGTTCCCTGCCACCAAGGAGCCCAAGCCGCCAAATTAAAAAGGAACAGACACTGAATTACTAGAAATTCAGAACAGGGTCTTCGCCCTGAAGTGTCGCATCTCAAATTCTTGACCACCCCTGGAAGACCACACGGTACCCCATCCCCAGGTGCCAGAGAGCTTCAGTTCGGAAGTGGGAACCGAAAGAGCCCCGGCAGCCCCCACACCTTCCACACCCGCTCACACCCCATCCACCTCTGTCGGCCCCAGGAAGGTCACGGTCATGGATCCACGCATGATTTGACTTTGCCTGTCATGCCTCAATGGGTAGATAAAGACGGGTTTTCTCGCCAAAAACGTCATGGCTCGGACGACAAGCTCTGTGCCGCCCGTTCTGGGGACGAGGCAGTGTCCTGTCCTGTGAGTTGCCACCGCAGATCTGCTTCCGCACCTGTCAGATCCGTCACTGCCGGCCACTCTCACCCTGTCTCAAACCGGGCCAAATGGGATCCACCCACAGTTGCACTTACTGTTTATTTCACCTTTCCCTGGATTGCAGGCAAACGTTCCATTCCAACAGTCACAAACACTTTCCCAATAAAAACTTCAGACCTGAGCAGAGAAAGACGGTATTTTGTCCCTTATGCTCCCTCTGTGCTACATCTGAACCGTGTCCAGACGATGTGCCTTCATTCACAAAAGTAATACTGTGGATTTCCTCGAGTTTCTCTGAGATGGGATCCAGCCATCTCTTCTTCCCTGGTCTTTGGGCAACTTGAACCGCTGTGCCTCTGTTTTCCTGTCTATAAAATGGGAATTAATAGCATTTACCGCTCAGAATTGTGGTTCAGTTCCAAATGAGAATAAATGTGAGTTCTCACCCCCCCAAAAAAAGTAAATATGTAAGCTGATAGATGTGTGAACTCAGGGAAGAGAATCCTTTATACCTCAAAAAAGCTGGAAAAAAAATTTTTTTAAGATTTTATTTATTTATTTGACAGAGAGAGACCAGCGAGAGAGGGAACACAAGCAGGGGGAGGGGGAGAGGGAGAAGCAGACTCCCCGCAGAGCAGGGAGCCCAATGCGGGGCTCGATCCCAGGACCCTGGGATCATGACCTGAGTCGAAGGCAGACGCTTAACGACTGAGCCACCCAGGCGCCCCTGAAAAAATTTTTAAATAAATACTTAACATATTAATCTTCAAAAAAATAAAGACAAACGGGAAAGCATCTAGCCTGCGGTAGAGCGAATGCTCCAGAAATGCTGAATTCAGCTGATTTGTCTCAAATCCCTACGGCATGGAAGTCCCACTCCGTGCCACAGGGACCACCCAGGCCTTCAGGTCCCAGCCCCCTGCACCTGACGACCTGGGATGTGTCTCACCTGCCTGGCCAGAGCGGGGGATCTCCCATCCAGAGGATGGTTTTTCACCAGGACCACCAGTACTCATTTCTCATGTCACACCGACCCCAACGCCCAAATTCTCTCTGGCCCTTCTCCTTGCCCAGGAGACTGCGAGACAAATTGCTGAAACCCCACTTTATGTGTCTAGACAGCCATCGTCTTGTCATGGGGTTTGTTACTAGATGAGAAAACCCGCTTTTGTTGCAAAAATCTAGTGAAACTGGAGAAATTGAGAAGTAAGGCAATGCTCCAGAATAAACAGGTTCACACTAGTGACTTGTCAAACCTTTTGCCACTTGGACCAGGCATATTTTATGTCCTTCTCGGGGGCCCCCAAGGGAGCAGCCACTTTGCAAGGAAAATTCCTTGATGGGTTCTGACCCACAGGTGACTGGAGCCCAACCCACAGACCACTCAGAGGACCACACAGTGAGAGCCACTTCCCCAAAGGTAACCCCAGCAGACAGCAGGGCCTTCCACATCCTCTGTGGTTTGGGAGGAAGCCCATCGAGGCAATGGGTGGGGCAGCAAGTGCAGCTCCTTCCCAGATGGCTCAGAAGGTGGAGCCTCTTCAGAGCCCACCCCATGAGCAATATAAATGAGGGGACCAATCTGGCAAGGCGGTCTCTGAGCCCCCCGCTTTTTTTTTTTTTTTTAAGATTTTATTTATCTGTCAGAGAGAGAGTGCAAGCACAAGCAGGGGGAGAAGCAGAGGCAGAGGGAGAAGCAGGCTCCCCGCCAAGCAAGGAGCCCGATGCGGGGCTCGATCCCAGAGCCCTGGGATCATGACCTGAGCCAAAGGCAGACGCCTAACCGACTGAGCCACCCAGGTGTCCCGAGCCCCTTGCTTTTATGAAGCTTCTAGCCCAGCGCCAGGAGCTAAAGAAAGCAACCGGCTTCCACCAAGCACCTGCTATCTCATTCTGCCCTCTGAACAGCTTCCGTTTTCCACAGCAGGAGAGGGGCTCAGAGAGGGAAAGTGACTTTTTTAAGCTCATATAGCTAGAAAGTGCCAGATGCACATCGCAGGCCCAGGTCTCTGGTGCCAGAACCCAGCCCTGGTCCCCGTACCCACTGCCTCTTGGCAAGGCCATCCTAGCAGGTCATTTCTCCGAACCCAGCCATTCTGCCTGCTGTGGGGGTCTGGGTTCCCCGGGCAAGAGGTCCGTCAGGCATTGGGCTAGGCTCTGGAGGAGGACATGGGGACTCTGAGAAGTAGCCTGCCTGCCCTGGAAATGTCATCAGCAGATGACACAGGAGTCATCAACGGAGTGAAGCCAGCCGCATCCCCCAGGTGGTCAAGCTGCTCCGCCAGCAGCCTGCCCGAGCTCAGCAAGTGGCTCCGTTGCCCCCA